TAAAGAAAAAGAAGACAAGGCTCAAAACAAATGAAGATTTTTAAAAAAGCTAAATAAATAAAAACACTTCTATATACTCACAAGAAAAGCACGACCAAAGAAATTGCAGGCTTACTCTTTTGCCAAAATTCATAAATACAAGAAAAATAGAAATTGTAAAGTTTGATTTGGTTCTCACCATCGTTAAAGGAAAATACTGACATGGAAAAATGTGTCATGAATCCAAAAGGCAACTAAAATCCAAGATGAATGACGAAGACACAGGGAAAGGTTAGCAGTTCATATCTGTTCATCTCCCAACTCAAATACATCATTTTATAGAATAATGAGACAGGTTCTAGAAAAACTCATTGAATGGGGCTGGTGGGACAGGATCTGAAACAAGGGAAATGTGGGAGGCAAGGTGCTCTAACACTGTACTGAAAATGGCAACTTTAACTATTGACATTTTGTTCATTTGCTCCTTCTAAGTATCATCTGAAGTATGCATTCTTTAAGTGTCAATTTTCATCAATTTGATTAACTGAAGAGTATCCAGATATTTGGGTTATAAAGACTGATTATGAATAACATCAGGTAAGTCACCTCCTGAACTTTACCTCACATCATCTTGATTCACTTTTGATCAGTGTTAGCTACCCATCTACTCATGTGCAACACGGTGGCACTTTTTGAGATTCCAAGAAACACATCCTCCTGCTTGACACCTTAGGCACATCCTAGCATACCTGAAAATACCCAGTAGCATCTCACTCATTCTTTACCATAGAACAAAGAAGAATACCTCTATCTCATGACAGGATAGGAGGAGGTGATCCTTCTTCTGTCTCTCAAGAAGGCACTTCTGAGAAGTATTTTATTGGCTTCAAGTGTTCCCAAGGAGATCAGGCCCCTCTTTACCACAACAGTGACCAACTCAGTGCTATTCCTTTACAACAACTTTTTCTTATTCTCATTCTCTATTTTACTAGCCCTCACTCCTCATTTATGAGGCAAGTTTCCAGAACAGACTGCATGTACATTTCCTATCACAAGCTAAGCTTTCAGGGGAAATACAGATTTATACTAGTTAACTTAAACATGCTACAGAAAATAAAAAAGGAAAGGATATTTGTGTGCAACATGTGCAAACTATGCACATATACACATACACACAGCACACCATACCACACACACATATACCCATACACCAATCTCCTTTCTCACCCCACACACATATGTATATATACACCACACACACACCATTGCCCCACACACCAACATGACACATACACACACAAATCGCACCACACAATACATGTATGTACACATACCTCACCACACCCATACTACACCACACACAAACTTGACTAACAACTCCAGTGTCTAATGAGATGAATTTTGCCATAGCAGGACTTTATATGCAAAAATTGGATGGAATGTGTTGTGTGCATTAGACCCAGTCCTGCTATTAAACAGGAGAGTTGCATGCCTCTTCTCAAGACAGCATCATCTGGAATACCTGAAATAATAAATGTCTTTTACATAAAATGTTTGCTAATATGTAGGTAATAGGTCCTTACTATTTTCTATTTTGTGTTAAATTATAGCTTCAAAGCAGAAGATTATTTCACAGACAAGTGTTGTCAAGCACTGTAAAGTCTCTGCTATCTTTTCCTACATATGAGCTACACACTTGGCCTTCAGTTTCCTAGGGATCAGTCAAAGACTTCCAGGTCAAAGAAAAGGACCTTATTCATCACAGCAGAGCAAACACCAAGGTGGGTAACAGATGGGCACTCATGGGCATCTGTGCACATTGTGGGCTCTATGCAGGAAAGGAGCCTTGAGCTGAGGGAACTTTGCTTTGTTTATTTTTATCATTATCAAGCACCATGTCATTTTCTGTGTGTTCTGCAAGCAGTCTTAAAAAGATGATATCTCACTTCCAAAGTCTGAAAAAAAAAAACATTTAGAGACCCCTGAAGAATGGTTTCTCAATGCATATAACCAGTTTTTTTAAAGTAAATTTCACTTGTCGTTTCCAATAGAAACAAGAAAAAGTGATGTTTATTCAGTGTAATTCATTATCACACTGAAATAAATTTTCAAGAAGCCAGGTTTTATTAACAAGCATCTTATGCTGATTTTTATGCATACAAATAACAAAACATTATCGTATTGTTTCTCATACTATTTCAAAGTCTATGTGGCACTTTTATAGTTTTACTAAAATTTCAAAACATGATTTGGGCTCCTAAAATTGTTAATAGATAATGAGAACAGAAGGAGGTAAATTGTTTTTTTTTTAAAGCTAAACAACATCTTTTTCTATTGGAAAATCCCAAATTTTTCCTCAGTTTTAGGCTTTGTAATAAGCTATCCTATAAAATTTCAATAGCTATAAGACTTTCTTAATTAGGTGAGGACATTTTTCATGTGCAAAACAGTTCAAATTAGCACAAGAATTGTACTCATACAGGAAGGCAGTTTTGTAATATTATATGTTTATTTTTCTAGGTGACATTATATCCTATACCTATAATATCAAAATATTTCAAAGTGTCAATTGTTAGATGAATTCAAACACTCTCCATGTAATTATTTGTCTTTCTTTACCCAGCCTAACATATATCTAGAAAAACAAAAGTATTGAGAAAAAGAAACATTTAAATAGTTTAGCAATACAATGACTAAACCAACCCACTGAAAAGTTACTCTTTCTCAAACCACAAAACCAATAAAAAGAGTTACAATTGTTTCTATCACTAAGTATTTACTGATTATAGGCATTTCTGTGAAGTTCACTCAACTATTGTGTTACATATTTTAGGTTTGGCAGTCAGAGCTGAATCCTTTTCATTACTCCCCATTTTCTTTAGGTAAAATATGGGTACTAAGTAAACTTTCACTGACTTTTAGGCATAAAGACAGAGTGACTGGACAGGAAAGAGAGCTCTAAGATAAATTATGAGGATAATCAGACCCACTGATGGGCACCAATTTTGATCAAACCAAGATAAAAGGAGAGCATACCCTATTACATTACTCCTCCTGCCTCTCACTATGATGCCCTGGTGTGAAGAAAGAATTGATAACAGCACAGAAAGAGCCACTACATGAAGAGATGAAGTCAGGATTTGGTTCAGATCCTTAGCAGATAGTGATAGAATGAAGGGCAGAGGAAACAGCACAAATAAAATACAGAATTCTAACTAAGGGTCTGTCCTTCAAATTCCATTAAAAAAAAAACACTTTCTGAAGAAAAACAGATGATTTACATCAGGAACTATGTTAAAGTGTAAAGAATGAAGTTTACTCTAAGTATTTTCTTTTCAGAAACACTCTAAGTATTTTCTCTTGGGAAATTTCAGAATAGGCATTAAACAGCAACCACGAAACAGATAAGAAAAAAGAGGACTGTTCAGATTTAAGATAAGAATAGTTCCCTTTAAGCAATAATTTCTTAACATAAAAATTTCCTACGCAATTGTCAGTCAACTAACTTTCAAATGAAATGCACAGAATTCCCAAACGGCTAAATGTTTAATATACTTTTTTAATGACCTCATTTCATGCCACTACCCACGGGATGCCCTGGTGGATAGCTAGTTTTGTTTCTGGAAAACCAGTTGAACATAGTGTCAAGAGGTGTCTACATAGGAAGGAGATTTTCAAATGCCAATATTCACGTTTTTACTGGTACTCAAGATGTTCTCACTTTTGTTGATTGTATTGTTTGATCTGGAAGAATTATTCAGTCTAAAGGGTAATTTGGAATAAATGGGAAAATACCGAATATGGAAATACTAAAATTTTGTCAACTAAAAAAGAAAATCTCTAAATATTAGTACTGAAACTTTAAGTGCCATCTGGTGCCTGGCCAGGGTCAACCAAGTTCACTGGCAAGCTCATTTGAACATGTATTCATATGTTCAACACAGTTCATCTCAGATGCTTCCCATCCTTCCCAGAGAATGTTCTCTGTAAAAAAGAACAGCTCAGCTTCTGTTGGCCTCTATCCTCTCATTGGATCGTGAGCAAACTATTGCCAATACCACTAATCCTGCAAGTGAGAAGTAATCTCAACTATGGAACAAAACTGGGTAAGGTGATGCTCCCATGTCTTCCTCACCTCTGTTCTTTTCAAGCCAAAGTTTTTTGAAGCTATTTGTCAAATAGTAAGAGTGTCCTCTAGTGACTTGTTGAATGTTCTACCTGCTGATTATTAAATTACTTTTTTCCTACAATTACTTCATTTCTTCTCCACAGATTCAGTTTTAGGACCTATCAAACTTGGTCCAACCTAATTGTCTTTGTTTTATTAATAAATACTTCCCATGAAACCAAATTAAATTTCATTTTTGTAATTTATATAAACTGTGAGATAAATATTTGTAAAGTAGTACAAACTGTTGGATGAGCAAGGCATGAGTATTGGTGTTCAGTACAGGAACCACACTATCAGACTTGGGAATTACCTTGGCTTGAGGATTCGGTGGTGAAGAATCATGGAGTATGACAAACTTAAGGAGGATTGAATTGAACGCTGAGCGCTACCTCCAAAGGATACTGCCCATTAGCAATCCGTATTTATAAATATGAAAACTAGCATTTATTAGCTGAGTTGAAGAGAACTGGACTGGAAGACTTGGAAGCTGAGAGTAGAGAAAAAATATAGTTTCAACCAGGTGGTGACATGGATGGTCATGATTAAACTAAACAGTCAACAAAACCAAACCAAAGTCATGAATCTGGAAAAGGGATCAATACGAAAGAACATGGTTGATAGGGATGGCAGGGATGTAAGAAAGGATGCATGGAGAGCAGAACTGGAATGCATTATACATATTATGAAATTGTCAAAAGAAAGAGAACCTTCATTTTAAAAGTTTCAAGGAGAAACACATTTTTAAAATTCTAAACTCATGATTGTATTAAATAAATAGAATTTTAATTTAAGAATAATTTTTACATTTTCGTGTAAGATAAAAACAAAAATATTAAGTTTTTCCGAACTCTTTAGAATTTCATTGTTGCACTAGACTACTGACAATTCTACAAATAAAACCAATAAAACCTTACCAGATGTTTGTCCAAATCAGAAGCACAGTTCCCAAAGACAAATTTTTAAAATGTAAATTATTGGCATCTAGAGAAAGACTAGCAAAGTTTTGTCTTCAAGCAAGAACTTTTTACCATTAGAAACAAACCCTTCTATTAAGGGAACACCTAGAGGTTTATTTTTTTTCCCCTGAGCAACGGGTTTTAAATTTGACCTATAAAATTTAGGCTGGCCTACAGGTCCTCCATCCCTGTAGTACTAAAGAGTTAATTAGCATCTTAACTCTGAAACTGCCAAGGTCTGCAAAACTGTAAGCTAATAACAGCTAAACTGATGCAGAATGGTGTAATGCCTGCTAGTCATTTCTCTTATGGACTTAATTCCTGGAAATTGTTCCAGTCCTCAAAGGAAATAAATGATAGCATTGGCCAATTAACTCCTATCTATGCTTCTTTGTTTTTGTTAAAACATTAACTCATTCAATGGTTGTTCAGACATATAAGTAAAAATAGATAAATTTTTACTATATATATCATGTTTTAGACCCTCTCAAAAGAGGAAAGGCCATTGTAATTCATTCTACTTTTCAGGTTGCAACCGGACAGGTTTATTTGAAACGTTCTTAATTTTTCCCAGGCCTATACTCTACTATTTCGTGTCCAAATATGACTAGGAATTAAATGAAAAGTTTTCCAAACAGCATAGTCCAAGTTTTAAGCATTTTGCTGTACTTACGTGGATCTCATGCTGCTACCAGGGGCCCCTTCTGAACAGACAGCAGCAGCAGCAGCGGCAGCAGCGGTAGCAGCAGCATCATCAGCTTATCCAGGAAGGCCCCTGCAACCCAGGCCATGCTCATGCTCCAGGATAATCTAAAGTGAGCGGCAGCTGCTTGGGTGGCTCCGTATCCTTCGTGTTTCTGATGGTTCTCCCTCCTTGCTGACTCTTCTCCTGTTACTCATGCTGCTAGTTCTCCACTGGCCACAAAAATTGATTTCAAACTAAAATCAATCAGAAGAGACAGAGATGGACACTTTATACTCATAAAGTATTGAGGAACTCTCAATCCTGAATATCTATGCCCCACTATAAAAGCACCCACATATGTAAAAGAAACATTACTAGAACTCAAAACATACATCAAACCCCACACTCTAATAGTGGGTGATTTCAATACTCCTCTCTCACCAATGGACAGGTCCACCAGACAGAAACTTAACAGAGAAATAAGAGAACTAACAGATGTAATGAACCAAATGGACCTAACAGACATCTATAGAACATTCCACCCAAACAGAATATACCTTCTTCTCAGCATATCATGGAACCTTCTCAAAAATTGATCACATAATTGGTAACAAAGTAAACATCCATAGATACAAAGAAATTGTAGTAATCACCTGTGTACTATCAGATCACCATGGAATAAAGTTAGAATTCAACAACAATTTTAACTCCGAAAGCCTACAAACTCATGGAAACTGAGCAGTCAACTACTGAACCACCCCTGGGTCAAGGAAGAAATAAAGAAAGAAGTTAAACTGTTTCTTGGATTTAATGAAAATAAAGACACAACATACCCAAACTTATGGGACACTATGAAAGCAGTGCTAAGAGGAAAGTCCATAGCACTAAGTGACCACATAGAGAAAGCTCACATTAGAGACTTAACAGCACAGCTGAAAGCTCTAGAAAAAAAAAGAAGCAGACTCACCCAGGAGGAGTAGAAGAATGGGGATAATCAAACTGAAGGCTGAAATCAACAAAATTGAAACACAGAAAACAATCCAAAGAATCAATGAAACAAAGAGCTGGTTCCTGGAGAAAATCAACAAGATTGACAAACCCCTATCCAAACTAATAAAACGGCAGAGAGAAAACATGCAAAATAACAAGATCAGAAGTGAAAAGGGGGACATAACCACAGATAGAGAGGAAATTTAGAGAATAATTAGATCTTACTACAAAAGCCTGTATGCCACAAAATTGGAAAAGAGCACTAAATATTTACATATAGACTTATTTTGATTATAGCCTTATAATCAAAAATACAATAATCAAAGAAGAGACCTCAGAATAAATCCCACTGAAACCTGTATAAGAATTTCATAACTATGACTTGGAGTAAAACAAATTTGTGCTTCATTTAAAAAAAAGGAAGGGAAATTATGAAAGTATGGTAGCTATATAGTAAAGTTTAGCATTAAAATAATACTGATACCAGCTTAATGTAAAGGCAAGGAGGGTGCAATATACATTGGATTCACATGCTACTTGAAACAATATTAACAAAATACACGAAGCACTGTTTTTCCTCTAGAAGCAAAGAGAATTGGTCCTGCAAAGAGAGGAAGTGAAGTTTCTCATGTGACTACTCTTACTGCCTGGAGATTTTTTGAACCACAGCACAGACAGGAAAACGGAAGGGCCAAGAAATCCTCTGAGTTTGAAAAGACAATACTAGGAATATGGAAGATTAAGCTGTATTTTACAAAAGACACAAGGCCTGCACAGAATAAGGACATCACGGAGAAGCAGAAAGACCCCTCAAAATCCCACACTGTGTGAACAGCTGATTAGGATCAGAGGGCTGACAAAGGATTTGGAAAAACAGTGTTCAACACTCACATAGGGCCAGGAATAACATCTAGTTCCACCAGCTGCAGTGAGAAGCCCTTATCTCGCTATAAAGGTTTCATTACCTTTAATCTAAGAATTCCTCTGTTATTTCTTAAGAAAATGTAAAAGCAAGACATTTTTTCAAATACCTTAAATGTATTACCAGGACAGAGCTCAATGATATTTATAGGAAAACAAAATATTTACCATGCAAAAAGTCAAAACTACATTCCTTTGTTTCCTATAAGAAATCGACAGACACAGACAAGCGAAATGTCTCTATAGTCGACTACAAAGTGTTTCCAGGGACTCAGAGAAATCACAGAACTGAAAAGTAACTGAACTGAAAACTTTGACAGAGGATCTGAGTATTAGATCAAACAGAGAGAATTACTGAGTTATAAGGTAGGTCACTGGAAAAAGTACCCAGGGCGATTAATGACAAGAAAGAAGAATGGAAAAGGTAAAAAGACATGCAGGTCAACATTTTCACCATTAGTGTAGCAGAAGAAAAAAAAGAGGCAGAAAGGGCTACAAAGCACTCCAAAAAATTACAGTGGCAGAAAACCTTCCAAGAGTGGGGGAAGAGCTGGAATTCCAGATGCAGGAAACTCACGCTGAGACACATCACAGTTAAGCTGTCACAGTGTGAGAGGCTTAAAAGCAAAGGGAAGCTGGCAGTGGTGACAGGGGCCTTTAATACCAGCACTCGGGAGGCAGAGGCAGGCAGATCTCTGGATCCCCGTGAGTTCAAGGCCAGCCTGGTCTGCAAGAGCTAGTTCCAAGATAAGCTACAGAGAAACCCTGTCTTGAAAACCAAAATCAAAACCAAAACCAACCAACCAACCAATCAAACAAACAAAAGCAAAACTAAAGGGAGAAAGGCAAAATGTTACATACTAGGGACTGCCCTACCACTATGTTAGTGACTTAATTTGTTTGTTGGGAAGAGATCTAAGAAATCAGAAGGGAGTGTGATAATATATTCAAGTCTCCAAAGAAAACAAGGAATCAAGAATATGTTATTAGAATTTCTGTTTTTCAGACTGGTGGAATGTAAAGGAACTGCTAAGAAAAACAAATGCTAGTGGAATTTACCACCACTTTTCCTCCCTGGGAAAGGGATATCAGTAACTGCATGAAAATAGAGAAATTATAAAAATCACTGGCAAAGTATACTGTCCGTCTCAAAACAGTAGAAAACTGCTTTGTTGTTGGATAAATTAATTATATCATTATCATGAAAATTAAAAGACAAAACTATTATAAAAAGCAACTATCCCAGTATATTTTCCACTTCTATAATAAAATATATGAGAGTGAACCAGCTATACCACTCTTGGGTATTTCAGAAAGACTCTAAGCTCTACCACAATGATACTTGTATCTCCATGTTGACTTCTGCTCTATTCACAATAGCTATGAGATGGAACCAGACTAGATGCTAGTTAACAGATTAGTGGATAAAGAAAACATTGTACATATACATAATGGAACTTAAGTCATCCATGAAAAAAAAACGTATGATTTAAATTTTTTATAAACATAAATATTTCTTCTACCCCTGACTGTTGTGATTTACCTTGTTTATGCTAGGTGGCAGTGGCATGCACCTTTAATTCCAGCACTGGGGAGGTAGAGACAGGCGTATCTCTGTGAGTCCGTCCTGGTCTATAAGAGCTAGTTTCAGGACAGGTTCCAAAGCTACAAAGAAACCCTGTCTCAAAACAAACAAACAAACAAAATCTTGTTTACTGTTCTGTAAGGACCAGACAACAGATGTATGTACAGTATGTTCTAACAAAAATAACCTTAAATTTGTATTAATATACAAAAATATGTTAAGCAATAGTAGAAACATAAACAGAATTGATGTGGGATTCCCCACTGTATGCTGTGAATACCATTGGTTAATAAAGACTGCTTGAGTCTATAGCAGAGCAGGGCAGAAAGAGCTAGATTGGGAAAACTAAAGTGAATGCGGGGAGAAAGAAGGGGGGGAAGTCAGAGAGAAGCCATGTAGCCCTGCTGGAGACAGACACTGGAACTTTAGCTGGTAAGTCACAGCCACGTGGCAATACACAGATTAATAGATATAGTTAAACTAAGATGTAAGAGTTAGCCAATAAGAAGCTAGAACTAATGGGCCAGGCAGTGATTTAATTAAATTTACAACATTCAATGAAATTAAATATAAATATTGTAACTATAATTCTTGCTTGATAACTGTTTTGTTATATGTAATTTTACTATGTTAAAGTTAAAGCCTTCCTTTTTGTTTAAATATAGTTTCTGTGCGGTTATTTTGGTTCTGGGCTGCTGGGACAAGCAAGTAGCCTCCTTTCTAAAAATTTGTCCCAACATGGGGCACCAGATGAAGACAGACATTCCACACTAGCTCAGAATTGAGTATAATAGAGTTATTTATTTTGGGGTAGACTCACAGATTACAGTCTTCTGCTCATACGTGGAGCAGCAACCAAATCCCGCAGCTGGAAGAGAGGCCAGGCGCATGCTTTACATTGACATATATAGTATAAGAGGCCATGTCCAAGTGGGTGGGTAACTTAAAGGCTACTGGCGGTAGGATTTCCTACAGCACAGTATAGCAAAAAATAAACTCAAATTTGTATCAATATACAAAAATCCATATCAATGTGAAATACTTAAGACTGGTAGTTGCTTTTTTGGTTTAAAAGTAGATTCAAATAATCTACCCTCTTATCCTATCATTTCTGTATCACTTTTTTTTTTGTTTTGAAAATGAGATCCCTGAATTTAACCTCTATAGTTAGGCTCCTTTGTTTTGACCATTACCAATAACAACTCTAACAAACACCCTCCCCCCCAAAATGACAAATATCCATACCCACAGAATGACCAAAATCCATCCATCCTACCTCTTGGGAATGTGGGCATCATGTTCTCAACATTGCTTCCTGTTGTTTGGGGGTTCTGGTAACGTTTGGATCCTGAGAAAAATTAAGATATTGGTTAATTCTTGGCTGTAGTAGTATTCTGAAGCTGGGTGATGTCAGCCAGCAGCCTTGAAACTGTTCTGGATGTAGAACTCAGAGTAAGCTGCAACAGAAACATTTTGAGAGGTTGGATCACCTGGGTCATCCATTTTCATTGGTGTCTGGTCCCCTTGCTCTGAAAATACATAAACTTGTAAAGGTAACATACATAAGTGTATTAATTCAAGTTTAGACTATGTATTATACATGAGTCAGCAAAATACAGTTTTTTGTTTTATGTTTGAGGAGGTAAAGTATATATGATGTGCCATGTAGTTCTTTTAAGTTTACTTCTTTATATCTGTAGTCAAAATTTCAGGGGGTCTTTCTTGATTAAACATGATTTTCCTTAACTCAGAATGAATCTACAGCTTCTCATTTCCTTTGGAAATAAATCCATAACCTCTCCCCAAAGTAACATATCTTTTGACTTAAATTCTGAAGATATTTTTAAAATATATAGGTTAGTTTAATCTAGCAGTTTTCATAATCCAGTGTCTTTTGGCAGCCAAAAACTCAATTCAAAAACAACACAATAACATAAAATCCAGACTCTTTGTGCATTTCCCATCTTTACATGTTTTTTCCTTTAAGTTAATTTACTCCCCTTCTAAAGACTTTATTATTTTAAAATTACATATTTCTATTTTATATCCCCTATACCTGCTCTTTTCTTTCCCAGTCCTACATATGTTTATAAACACACTATAACCCATTTAGAGGTTGTCGTTTTTTTTAAAATCTGAATCTATCTTTACTGTATATCTGTAACCTTTTCTCTCTGCAAGAGCAAAACCATAAGTCTGCCATGCAGAGAACCCACCATGGGCTTAGTTATGGAATGCTGGCAGTTGCCAGGAAATGCTTGACCAGTAGCTCAGGCTTGTTGCTAGCTAAATCTTGCTCTTTAACCCACATTTCTATCAATCTATATATTGCCACATGGCTTGTCCTCCAGCATATTGTGCTTATTCTGTGTCTCTTGGTGACTCCACTGACTCTGCCTCTGGTCTCCTTCCTTCATCATTTTCAGTTTGGCTGTCTTACCTATACTTCTGCCTGACTACCAGCCAGTCAGTTCTTTATTAACCAATGAGAGTAATATATATTCACAGTGTACATAAAAGATTATTCCACAGCATGTGCATGTGCATGTACACATGCACACACACACACAAGCTCTATTAAAGATACAGTAGTATGGGGTTTGCCATAAAAAAATCAAAATGAGATTCTGAAAATGATTAAAAATTGTACAGAAGAGTCAGGCCTGGAAGTACAACCATTAATCCCAGCCCCTTGAGTGACTGAGACAGAATGATCACAAGATCAAGAACATTCTGAGCAACTTGATGATATATTGTCTCAAAATAAAGAATAAAAACATTTGGGGATTGATGGCTGAGATGACCCTACCACATAGGATGACCTGATTATCAGTCATAATGAGCAGGAAGTAGTCTGTAGAACAATGCCCAAATTCCCTAAATGATTATTTATAAATGTTTGTTTACATTTAAAGGGGGACAAGCCATGAAGATAAATACTTTGCATTGATTTATTGATACAATAAATTTAAGGACAATGTTGTTATATGTATATTCCTGCTCTTGATTAAGTTTATGTGTTTGTGCAGCTCATTTAAAAATATAATGTATAGTTAAGGAATACATGTTAATAAATAATCACCTATAATAGTCAAGCTTATAATCATGTTAGGTTTTCCAGATGAACAGAGATAATGGATAGGTATTCTTAAAACCTTTCAAAGGCTAACAGAATATGGCAATTAAAATGTTTTAAGAATTTAGGACTTTCCATGAAAATGAGACACATCTGCTTCTGGCAGTACCAATCTACTTCAAGAGGATGATGGGCATTGAAGAGGCTCTTTATGGAGTTTGTTAGCCATTTGGGCACGAAACCGCTCTTGCCTGGATGGCTTCACGGTATACTGTATAAACTGAAGATGAAGGACCCACAGAAAAACATGACTGCTGAACTAGCCTAAAGGTAAGATTGTCTTTCAGGGCTCCTGCTTCATGAAAGTATCTGTCAGAAGTACTGAAGGATACAAAAGAAAGTGAGTGACAAACTGCCAATAGAGGTAAAACAGTCTTTCAAATTTCCTGTTTTGTGGAAGTCTGCCAGATACTATGGGCCTGTAGGCTGAAGATGGGTGCCCCAATGTTATAAAAGAACTTTGGGTGTCTGTCCTGGCAGCAAGATATTTCTGCCAATTCTAGAGTTTTGGAAGTTGCTTACAATGCACTTTCTGTTAACTTAGGTTATATCCTTCTGTAGTCTTTGAAGAAGTTGAAGAATAGATAGTTATAATTATAGTTTTCCTTAGTTACGATAAAAGATAAAGTAGATATAAATATTGTAACTGTAATTCTTGCTTTATACCTGTTTTGTTATATATACCTGTTTTGTTATATATAATTTTACTATGTTAAAGTTAAAACTTTCCTTTTAATTTAGACAGAAGAGGGGAGATGATGGGGGATTCTCTTCTGTATGCTATGAATATGTTTTATTACCATTGGTTATTAAAGAAGCTGTTTTGGCCAATGGTTTAGTAGAGTAAAACCAGGCAAGAAATCCAAACAGAGATACAAAGAGAAAGTAGGAAGAGTCAGAGAGATGCCTTGTAGCTGCTGAAGGAGAAAGGCACCAACTGTCAACTAGAATCTTATCAGTTATTATGTCAATATACAGATTAATAGAAATGGGCTAATTCAGATGTAAGAGTTAGCTAGAAATATCCCTAAGCTATTGGCCCAACAGTGCTGTAATTAATATAGTTTCTGTGTGATTATTTTTGGCCTGGCTAGCCAGGAAATGATCAAGCAGTCTCTGAGAGTCTCTGCTCAGTAGAACAGAGCTTGGTTTGTATGAGCAAGTCCCCGAATCCATCCCCAGTGTAAAACACAGAAATAAAAACAGATCAGTGAAGTGTGAATGCCTTCTAACAGTCACATATCTAAAGTAAATATATTTACATTTTATTTAGTGTTGTTTTAAAGAAAATCTCAATCATTCAATTTTACCAATAAAGACTCAGGGACTAGATGCTTCGGTGAAAGCCTGCTAGCTCAGAGGTACATAAAGCACCTAGCTGACCTTCCTTCCCTGCCAACATCCCAGAAAAAGCCTTTTCTCTTACACCATCTTAAATAAGACTCATCCAACTCAATGCCCCCCTATTTCTTGTCTCTCTGTCATTCTGACACACATTCTCTATGATTTTTTTTTCTTTTCTCACTTCCTGCCAACTGGTAGATTTCTCCACCTCTTGACATACAATTGACTTTATTTATAAATTTCAAGAAGAAAGCTCTTGGATTAAAGGTATATGCTAGGACTGAGTCACATCAAAACTAGACATAGGTTTTTCCAAGTAAATAATGCAATCTTAGGGTTCACAGTATGATCAAATAAACTGCAACATTTCCCCCTTTTGTCTAAAGAAAAGGGATAGTATTTTTTTAACTCTAGCACTTAAAACTCTTACAATAATCATGCTATTTCTACCATGTATTTTATAATGTTCATCTTGATTGTTTTGGGCTATATTAGGATTAAATATTTCTGTAAATACTTAACAGTAGCTAAAACTTCTGTAAAATGTTGTATCAATCTTATGCGAGTTCAGCAATTTGAATGTCTTGAGCAGTTTGCAGTCCAAAGTTGACCTTCAGTACTTGGTCATCTTAGTGGCAATCCTGGATAAGTAGAACATAGCATTCAAGCCAAAGGTATCCACTATTTGTGCAGAACTCTTTTCTTGGGACGTTTTCTCTTGATGATTTGTTCTTCTTCTGTAGATGTTTCATTTGTTCACTGGTTTCCAGATTCCTTACTTGGATGTTTTTGTTCTCCTGGAAAGATAAAAGCAAAACCTTGCCCCAAACTTAACTCTCAGGGATCCTATTTTGGGAGGTTCTTTTCAAGGGCAATTTTATTTGGCAACTGAAAAATATTATCTTTCAATTATTAAAATACTTTTGAAAACTTGAAACTAAATATATGTTAGTCTGTGTGGATAAATATATATACCTATATTCTCCTTTCTCTTTATATATAAATTCAAAGTTTAAGTATATTAATTTTTAGATAACAAAGGACATTCACTTTGAATTTTAGCCTGCCTTTTACAACAGGTTTTTAAATTTAAATTACTGTAACTCTTATGTGCTTGCCTCTGATTCCCACGTATTGGGATTAAGGCATGTTCTTCTCAAATGCTGGGACTAAAGATTTGAACCACTGCCTGGCAATGGATTCCTTATAATACTTATTCTCATAGGTTTGTCCTGATTTAATATGGTTCTCCATTTGCCCTTACTTTTTAGTGTTAGGGGTAAACTTTCAAGCTTTTGAATCAGCAATCTGTCTTTCTTATTTATTCTGCATTTGTTCCCTGGCAAATTTTAATAGTCCAGTCTTAAATTTGTCCACTATTTCATTGTTTTCAGATTTTCTGTCTATGTTGCCTACATGGACTACATAAATTTTGATGCCTTTGCTAAGTTTTGCTAGCTTATTCCATTTCCATTCATGTATGCCATGACCAGATATTTTTGACAATTATCTGTCAGTTGTTTTCCATTTTGATAACAACATAGTTATACTATTGCACATGCATTATGAATTGGAGAAAATATGTTTTCCTTTTGCTTTCTCAGTTCTTTGTCTTATATCCAATAGTGCTGCACTGATTTTGTGTTTCCTTCCTAAGTATTGTCCATTCCATCCCTTGGTCTATTTAGGCTGCTAATTTCCATTAGTTTTGGTTCCATCAGTGGTTGATGACCCATCAGTAAACAATTTATTAGCCAAATAGTATGGGCATTATAGTGGTCTTCACAGTTCAATAGGTGCCTCTTTTGGGGGAGAGGCAAATAGTTTAGGGATGAGAATTATGGGCAACTGAGCTATTTCTTCAGTTT